TACAGTCAGATCACTTAACTTGCTCTATAAAATTATGATTGTCAAACTTTCAATGGCATCACACATAGGTAAAAGCTCGTCAGTTTGCCTGCGCAGATGATAGAGCAATCTAATATTTACGAATGTGGGCCCCACTATAGTGATGATGTGATTATTGACGGAAGAATTTTAACACCAGGCCTCGATGCCCAGCCTTTACGTTGTCTGTAGGCGTCTACTGCTTGGAGACGTAGCCTCTCTTTCCAAGCATCTTGGGCTGTCTTAAATGCCTTCATTAGAAAGAACAAAAAGGATCTTACGAAAGAAAAAAAATAAAAAAAAAAAGGTGGTGGAAAAAATATCTGTGCATATATCAATATCCCGAAAAAAGAATACAGATGAAGAACCTTAGGCACGGCGAGTAACTAAGGGGGAGCTTGAACTATGTCACCAAATTTTATTTCCTCACGGCCGCGAAATTCAATATCCTCATCTGATTTGGATAGTTTGTGTTTTTTTCTTTCTTGCTTCCCAAAGTCTGCAAAAGTTTAAACCAAATCACGTGACCAATGTACGTAAAATAGCACTGATTAAGCGGGGAACGAATGTACGTGAATAAGAATTAAGAGGGTGTTTTTCTGAGTTTGCAAGCTCTTCAAAACATTTTGTAAGTATTCTAGGATCTTAAAGTTTTAATAAAGTGCAGACTTCGTATTATTATTGTCATTAGTATCTTTTCTGGAAGGTGCTTATAAGATTCTCAAATTCTTTCTGAAAAATATTTCTTTAGCTAACTCCAATAATTTTGCTAGTGCAATTATAAAACTGTTATTATTGAATTAGCCAGTACCGTATCATCCTGTGGTCCCATGTCAACAATTTATTCCCAACTAAACTAACATCTTAAAGGCTCCATAAACATCTTACAAAATATTGAAGCTTATAATATTTTAAGCTCTGCCATATACTTCAGTTCCAAGCTTTGAGTAAAAATATCACACCTATATCTTCATAGTTCAATCATGCCAGAAGCCTCATGGGGTTCTTATCATAGGTACACATTCAACTGACAACATCGAAAAACTTACTATTTTTTACGTTCTTTTCTACGAGAACCTACAGCAGCGAGTTCATCAGCTGCCTCAAACTGAAGGTCCTCTGCTTTTTTAATTTTCCTCTTCTTTTTCGTCTTGTCACTCTTGCTAATTTTGGGGGATCCACTTTGGTTTTCTGATTGCAGCAGATTCAAATTTTGATTGCTTCTTTTTCTCTTCATTCTTGTAACCGTGGATTCAGTACCTTCCCTATAATTAATCCCCTGATAAGAAAATGATGTTCGAAAATTATTCTTTGATCCAAATCTAAAATCCAAAAGCCACACATTTCTCAGCAGAATATCCATCAACCATCAAACAAATACTCCGCGCAAAATTGCTTACACTGGACAAAAGATTCTTCTTTTAATTTGCTAATTTTCAAAAAACCTAAATTGAATTGCAAGAATAAATTCCACCAGATTCTAACAACCCTTGGTGTTAAATGAATCCTCAGTTAAAGCATCGAAAAAGAGTCAAAGTTTTTCCCTGCAAGCAACAAAAAAAAAGACAATATCATGGGAATTAAATTTCTCAAAACTACCAATCGATCAATAAGCTAGGCTACATGTAAATGTAAAACACAACTCAAAAGATCAGCTAAATGCCCTGTAAAGAAGGGTTTTTCTGCAAGATACCAACTATAAATCTCCAAATCAACATCAACAACAAATTTGCAAGGTAGCAACTTTTAAGTCTCCAAATTG